TGACAGAGATTATAAAATTTCTACTATTTATTATACTGAAATAATTCTTTTTAATTCTACATTTTTGTGTACTTACTTTTGTATCTAAAACTCAGTAAACATATATTTAAAAATATATTAAATTAAATATATTAAAAAATAAAGTAGTACCCAGAACGCCTGAAAACTTATATAAATTAGTCACGTATGAGTGACCAAATACCTTCTTGAACTTTCGTGCATTCTCTATCGAGAATAATGCAAAAAATCCTTGTGAGCTTATTATATCTATGGACAGTTAAAGTCTTTTTCAGCCTCAATCTGAATCTTCAAGTAATATTATAAAAAAGTTACAGCAATGTAAAAAAATCACATAAGATACATGGTTGGATCTATGAATAGTTTGATAGGGTTAATATACCTTTCTTTTTATTAATTGAATTTTATTGCAATTTTTATTATAAAAGCACGTATCGAGATGATCACAGATACATAAATTATTGCTTTTCGAACAAATTGCGATATGTATGTATATACAGAGTGTACATTGCGGATCTTTTATGACAGGATAACTGGATAATTCTTTTTAGATACATAATTCATCTTTCTTCCTTTTCTCTCTACGTTGAAGAGATAAAGAGAAAAGATGAATCGTGCAAGAAATTTAGCTAAAAAGAACAGATGACTCTCGGATATAATCTGTACCAACCTGGCCGGAGTTATGTCTAAGAATCACCCTGTAGAATCACACTTTGTATATCATAGGATTCATTCTGGAGGCAACGACTTATATATATCTGTGATTACCTCGATGAGTGCTTTCCAATGATACTTGCTGGCACCAGCAACTAGTAGTTCTTCTTCAAATGTCACTCACAGCGTGTCGGCGCCTCCCTCTCATATATCTGTGCGTGCACACTGATTGTACACAAGGTATGCGGATCTATAGTTTAAATGCCGATTCCGAACGGCAATTTTTGATAAGGTTTCCTGGTCAACTATACTATTCGGTGATTTGCCATTTTTTCTTCCGAAATGAGCTACGAAAATTTTTTGATTCTGTCGGATCGAACCCGGGATCTCTAGTACAGCAGACCAATGCACTATCTGCTGCACTATGTTCACGTTCAATTAGCAGTTGATGGATCTTTCTAGACAATTCTTCAATACTATATGATAAATTTAAATGACGCATTAACACATTTATATAAAGTTATTTTTGATAATCTTGCTAGAGATTTCATATCGCGCGTTTGTAAAAATATTTTTGTGCACACGGCGACACATATTGCGTTCCAATTGTTGTATTATCGACATATTACATATCCGTACTCTAAGTACTAAGTTGAGGTTACTAATCGGTGCGTAAGCTTATGTTTTTTAATGATAATTACACGTAATTGCGGTAGCTATAAATGAGATTGCAGGATGTTGAATAGCCGGTACCTTTGTTTTTTTTTTTATTCAAATGGAAAAAACTACATTTAATCTAATTCCTAAACTGGATCGAAACTGTGCACAGAGTGTTTTCTAGCAAAGACACAGTCAGACACAGTGTAACCCAGTGAATTGTTACATTCTTGTTGTTTGTCTATATTAAACAAGAATGAAATGATTTATTGTGTTATACAGTATTTGACTGTGTCCTTGCTGGAAAACATCTACACTGTGTTCAGTGAATTGTGCATAATGCTACGTTTTGTACATTCCTGTATACGTTTGTGTAACCCAGTGAATTGTTACATTCTTGTTGTTTGTCTACATTAAATAAGAATGAAATGATTTATTGTGTTATACAGTATTTGACTGTGTCCTTGCTGGAAAACATCTACACTGTGTTCAGTGAATTGTGCATAATGCTACGTTTTGTACATTCCTGTATACGTTTGTGTTAAGATGTGTTAAGCAATTGGAAAGAACTTTATGTTGTTTTTCAATTAGAACATACTACGTTACATTTGATACTTTTGAGTAACACTATGCTATGTACAATGTGTTTTCCAATTACCACATAAGTCGACACAATCGTACGTAGTTAAATAGTTCAATTCGAGTGTGTTCACTTGTGTCGTATATAATTGGAAAGCACCGAATTATACACTGTGTCATATAATGTCGTCTGTATACGTAGCTGGAAAATCCTATGAATGTATTATCTCGTCATGTTTGGTATAGGTAGCAAGTATTATAATATGATTGCAGTAAGCGCCCGCGTCGGAGTGAGTTGTGCTGTCCCTGCTTACTTTCCATAAGTGTCCCACAATTAGCTAATTATTTCTTGTTACAATCTAAAAATTATGCTTTGGAAAAGTCTTGGTAAAGAAAAAATCGTCTTAGAATTAAGTTATTGTAATAATATATTTTAAGAACAAACATTTGCTCTGAATCACTCTGTATTTGGAAATCAAAATTACATTAATGGAAATTAGATTGCGAATTAGATTATTCATTAATATTGTAAATTGATATCTTAAGAATTTTATCAACTAGACAGAATCAATATAATAATGCATTTCTTAATATGTTTCAGATTAAGCTAGAACGTGTACTGGGTGTAACTGTTTCCAGCAATGCAGCTCTCGATTGTGATGTAACCAGCGAATTGGTTGCTTATCCAGCTGGGTAAGTTTAACTTTTTTCTTATTGATTTTTTAATGTGTAATGATGAGAATAAAAGTTTTATTTTAAAGAAAGATAACAAATATATATGCAAAATAAAAAAGATTGAGGAAAGAAATCTTTTATGTAACATCTTCAATAAAACAAAGAAATTTGTCATTTGTAATATTATTTTCTGTACCTAATGCCTAAGTGAGTGCCTAAGGGATATGTCTGTTCGGAATTGATTTGATTCTTTTTAAAATATATTATTAAAAAAATATGCACGCACGCATGCTTACAGTTTTACGCCTTATTACATTCCTCAGCAAAAATGATCGATTGATTAATATCGAATTAACATTGATCATTGTTGAATTAACATTGATTTGACATCGAGCGACGTTGAATTGATTTAACGCTAATTGATCAACTTTTTTTGGTTGAGCCGGAAAATCAACTTCCTCTCATCTACAGCCGCTACTGCTTTATTGTAGACGATGCTTTAAAACAAGTGTGTACTGAGACAACGGCCCGATTGCATCAACGTTACTTTGATTTTAAGCGAGGCTCTATCTCTCTCACTCTCTCAGTTTTAAAAAGAGAAAGTGAGAGTTTTAAGCCTCGCTTAAGGGAATGCTGGAGCCACTTGTATTACCGATAAAACTAATGTTTTTGACGTTTTTATTCCTGTCGAATTTTACCTTCAGCGTTGATCGCCATACTGAGATAAAAATGGATAAAGAAATCTGTAATTTTTTATTTCTTCTATCTTTAAACACAAAATACACCAGCGACAAGTACATTAGCATGTACATTTTAATCGTGGAAAAGGAATTTTTATTCTGTGAAATCACTATGAAGAAATTCAACAAGAAAACGTTAAAAATGCTAGTTGTATCGGTAATATAGGTTCGAGCATTTCTTTCAAGTCAAAGTAATGTTCTGCAATCGGGTCTAAGTGACGCACTTCCCGGCAGATCTGGAAGTATCCCACTCTTCGGAATTCCTCTACTCTCGAAGCTTATGGATTAAAACTCGTCTAGGGGTTTAACTTAACTATTATCGATAATTTAATTTTTAAGGTTATAATTATGTTTTCGTTTTATTATCGCATTATTGTATCAGAACTTGCAATATTCTTTTTTAATTAAAATGATTGCCATTGCATTTTATAAATTAGTTTTCTTCTGTTGCAGTTGCACTGTCGTACTATTTAATCCACGACGAAACAGTCAAGCACACGTATTAAATGTTTGCCGGAAGACTGTGACATCCCTGGCGCTGGCCGGAGACGGTAAATTCTTGGTCACTGGCGAATGCGGTCATATGCCGAATGTTCGTGTCTGGGATATTTCTGATCCACAAAATGCTGTGCAGATCGCGGAATTTCCGGGACACAAATATGGCATCAACTGCGTAGTGAGTATTGCAGTGACTTTTTATTTTAAATGTTTGCGATTGAGCATTTCTGACTTTTCTTCATATTTTTGTTGTATAAGGAAGTTGGGCTTTAAGCATAATTATGCGAAAAGAAATCAATTTTTAAATATAATTCTTTATAATTTAACTATCATAGAAATATTGGAAACAAGATTTCGCTTTAATAGTTTTTAAATGAAATAATTTCAAACAAATTTTAGGTAGAAAATGTACACTATCGCAGACTACAAATTAATAGTATCATTATATCAATATTATATAATTTTCCATTTAACAATATAAATGTAAGGTAACACATGTTGTACGTAATAGTTATATTGTTAAATGGGAAATTATAAATTGACGTAATGTTATTGTTAGTTGATGTTTTATAGGCAAGCACATAAAAAACATTTAAAAGTGTATGTATTATTAAATCAAGTAATAACTAATAAACACATAGGATATTCCACGTCACCCGGATCACCTACGTTTGATACAATTGGCTTGAAAATAATTACTTCTAGGTTTTTCAGAGTTGTTTCAGAGCTGATTACGGAGTTTTTTAATCTCGATCATGAAGGTAAACTATTTAAGTTAGTCTTAAAATAAAAAAATATTTCATCACTAAGCAGGTGGTGATTGATTTTTAAACATTCAAAAATTATTCCTTCACGCTCGGGATTAAGAAACTTGGAAATTGAAAGAAGTTGAAGAATATAGAGCTCAAAGTTTCATATGCTGGTCGCCATACTGGTCTACTATTTTGAATTTCCAAATTTTGACAGCAGATTTATAACCAGCAATCCTGAAAAACCTAAAAGTAATCATTTTCAAGCCAACTGGGAATCACTACAGTAATTGAAGCAAGAAAATGTTAAATTTGTATGCGATGTTTATTGCTTCTCGGCGCCATATTGAATCCACCATATTAGATCTCAAAATGGCACATTTCTTTCGAAAATACATGTACATACGAATAATTCGAGACCTTGAATGTTTATTTTTATTGCGCTGATTTTTGAGCACGCAAGTGATCCGATTGACATTCTACATCAATTAGATCACCTGCGTGATCCAAAAATCCCATACATAAAAATATATAAAATAATCTAATTAGCCAATATATATATATATATATATATATATATATATATATATATGTGTGT